GGTCTTCCCTCCCCGCCCGGCCGGAGCACCGCTCCGGGCCGGGCGGCGGCGGAGGTCTTCCTCCCCACCGCCCGGCTCGGAGCACCGTTCCGAAGCCGGGCAGAGGCGGAGGTCTTCCTCCCCCCGCCCGGCTCGGAGCACCGTTCCGAAGACGGGCGGCGGCGGCGGCAGGTGTTCCCTCCCCCGCCCGGCTCGGAGCACCGTTCCGAGGCCGGGCGGCGGCGGCAGGTGTTCCCTCCCCCGCCCGGCTCGGAGGAGCCTTCCGAGCCCGGCGGCGGCGGGAGGAGGTGTCCCCGCCCCGCCGCCAGGCTTCGGAGGAGGTCCGAGGACAGTGGGGAAGACGCGCTGCGCTTCCCGCTGTCCCTGAGATTTCCCTATGGGCTGTCGTCTTGCGAAGCAAGCCCATAGGGAAATTCGTTTTGCGAAGCGCCTCCAAAACGGAAAACCCTTTCGTCTAGCGGGTTTTCCGTCTTGCGAGGCGTTCGTCTTGCGGGGTACCACTGTATATGGTTTATTTACACATACTGTACAGTGGTACCTCGGGTTAAGAACTTAATTTGTTCTGGAGGTCTGTTCTTAACCTGAAACTGTTCTTAACCTGAAGCACCACTTTAGCTAATGGGGCCTCCCACCGCTGTGCCGCCATGCAATTTCTGTTCTCATCCTGAAGCAAAGTTCTTAACCTGAGGTACTATTTCTGGGTTAGCAGAGACTGTAACCTGAAGCATCTGTAACCTGAAGCATCTGTAACTGAAGTACCACTGTACTGGCCCAAATATAAGCCGCACCCGAATATAAGCCACACCTTTAAAATGGGGGGGGGGAGAGAAAAAAGACCCGAATATAAGCCGCTCCATTCCTCGCTGCTCCTGGCTGCATACTGGGGGGGGGGGCCACGCTCCACTGCCGACGGCCTTTCCCCATCCTCGCTCTCTCCCTTCCCGGCCTTGGGGGAAAGCATGGGGGACTATACATGGGGCAGGTGCTGCTTTGCTGCGCTTCTGGCACTGTTTGCGCCGCACTCCTGGCTGCATACCATGAGGTCATGAATATAAGCCACACTTTACCTTTTCATGGTCAGAATTTGGGGAAAAAGTGAGGCTTATATTCAAGCCAATAGGGTATATACCACCTGAACCTACAATGGTGGGGCTCACAGCATAATCACCCCAAAAAGGTTTGCTTCTCCCATAGATGCAGCTCTGGATTCAAAACTATCATGCTCTGACCCTCTTTCCAGCTTGTTGGCCTTAACTGGCTGCCACCTTTTTCTCCAGGTCACATCACACAAATTCGACTCTAAAAACTCTACTTCAAACTCTGACTTTGTCTACTAACTCTGAGTTGAGAGAGGGGCCTCTCCCATTTGCCATTTGGCAAGTGCCCCCCCCCCCCCCCAGTTGTCTTTCCTAATGGCTTCCCCTTGTTCTCTAAATAGCTCATCTCCTGATCAGGAAACTGGCCTGGCTTACATTTTAACATTTACCTTGATTAAATTCTCAGCCCTACTTTAACTAGCACTCAATTGCAAAACTATTCCTACCAATTACAGGTCACTAGTTACCACTCTTGTGAATGGTCACTACATTTATTCTGCATAAATTTTAACTTTAAATTTGTGCTACATTAAATGTAACCATTTCTTGTTTATACTGGCTTGTGACTAATAGTTTTGTGAAGTTTTTACACTGATGGTTTTAACTGCTGTCTTGCTATATCGTCTAGTGCTGTTTTAAATTGCTTTTATGTAATTTTATTAAGGTGCATTGCCCTGGGCTCCCTTTGGGGAGGAAGGGTGGTTATAAATGTGAAATAATAAAAACAAAAACTATACAAAATCCTGGTAGGCTTTTGTGGACTGGAGTTCAGCTAGAAGGCAACAGCTTTTTGGAGCTTTTATTTTCAGTTGGGTTTGAATAAGATATTTGATCATTAAAATATATGTGTAATGAAATATCCCCCTCGACGCCAAAGCTAGCACACACATATGACAACTCAGGTAGCCACCCTATGTATCTACAATCTGCCCTCTACAAAAATTAAGGCTAAGGTCCACATGGCTTGTGCTTACATGCATTGGTGCTATGTCTGTAGGCCTCTCTAGCCCTTTCAACTTATGTCCCAGAAACATTTGTGTTCACACACAAGTATGGGCATACTGGTGACAATAGGCTCTGCCCCTCGTCTTCTGTGGATAGAGTTCAGGCACGTGTGAAGGTTAGACTCAATGAGTGGGGCAGAACAGCTGCAGCTGGATCCTGACTCCCTTTGCACCTGCGCTGTCCATGTTGCATGTCTGAACAGATCATTTATTCAGCACATATTTTATCAAGTTTTCAGACATCAGGTTGCTCAGGGTGGTGAAAGGATGAAAGGATATGACTGGGTCAAAGCCACCAGTGTGGCATGGCAGTTAGAGTGCCAGACTAGGACATAGGAGACCTGGGTTCAAATACCCACTCGGCCACGAAGTTCTCACTGGGTGACGTTGGGCCGGCCACTGCCTGCTTCTCAGCTTAACCTGCCTCACAGGTTTGTTGTGGGGACAAAATGGGGATGAAATGAACCATGTGGGCCACCTTAAGCTCCATGGAGGAAAAGTGAGACATAAATGTGATAAACAACAAACAAACAACAACAAACCTAGAAAGCTTCCTCTTCAGATAGGTTCTGTTCTATTGTGGCAAAGCCTCAGCTTCTGATATGCCATTGTCTTCAAATAAATACAATGTAAATACAAATAAATACAATCGACGTGGGTGGCGCTGTAGTGTAAACCACTGAGCCTTGGGCTTGCCAGTCAGAAAGTCAGCGGTTTGAATCCCTGCAACAGGGTGAGCTCCCTTTGCTTGGTCCCAGCTCCTGTCAACCTAGCAGTTTGAAAGCACATCAAAGTGCAAGTAGATAAATAGGTACCGTTCTGGCAGGAAGGTAAATGGCGTTTCCGTGCACTGCTCTGGTTTTGCCAGAAAGCGGCTTAGTCATGCTGGCCACATGACCCAGAAAAACTGTCTGCGGACAAATGTCAGCTCCCTCAGCCAGTAAAGTGAGATGAGTGCCACAACACCAGAGTCGTTCGCCACTGGACTTAACTGTCAGGGGTCCTTTACATTTTTTTACCTTGGTTCTCGAACTTAATCCATTCCGGAAGTCCGTTCGACTCCCAAAACCAATCAAAAACCAAGGCATGGCTTCTGATTGGCTGCAGGAGCTTCCTGCACTCAGTCGGAAGCTGCAGAAGCCACACTGGATGTTCAGCTTCCGAAAAATGTTCGCAAACCAGAACTCTCACTTCTGGGTTTGCAACGTTCAGGAGCCAATTAGTTCAGGAGCCAAACCATTTGACAACCAAGGTACCACTGTACACAGCAGGTATGAAACCCCAAAAGTGCTTACAGTTCCTTCAACATCCTTATAAATGACTTGGATGAAGGTATCAAGAGAATACTCATCAAATTTGCAGATGACATCAAACAGGGACAAGTAGTCAATGCTGCCAAAGAAAAAATTGGGATGCAAGATTACCTTAACAGATTGGAGAACTGGGAACAAACTAAGAAAATGAATTTCAATAAGGACTAATGTAAGGTTCTGCACTTAGGGGGACGCGGGTGGTGCTGTGGGTAAAACCTCAGCGCCTAGGACTTGCCGATCGCCAGGTCGGCGGTTCGAATCCCTGCGGCGGGGTGCGCTCCCGTTGCTCGGTCCCAGCGCCTGCCCACCTAGCAGTTTGAAAGCACTCTTAAGTGCAAGTAGATAAATAGGGACTGCTTTATAGCGGGAAGGTAGACGGCATTTCCGTGTGCTGCGCTGGCTCGCCAGATGCAGCTTGTCACGCTGGCCACGTGACCCGGAAGTGTCTGCGGACAGTGCTGGCCCCCGGCCTCTTAAGTGAGATGGGTGCACAACCCTAGAGTCTGTCAAGACTGGCCCGTACGGGCAGGGGTACCTTTACCTTTTAAGGTTCTGCACTTAGGCAGGAAGAACTAGCTGCACTAATGTAAGATGGGGGACAACGGTGAAATGTGAAAAGGATCTAGGGGTCTTAACATTAGTAAACAGTGTGATGCAGCAACAAAAAAAGGTTCATCTTAGTTTAGGCTGCATCAACAGAAATATAGTGTGCCTATCAAGGGAAGTAATAGTCCTGCTTTATTCTGCCTTGGTCATAGCACACCTGTGTCCAGTTCTGTGCATGGATGTGGTGGGGGGGCAGTGGGGCTCAACAACTTTGGCTGCCCCCCCACCACAAAAATCCAGGCTACGCCCATGGTTCTGTGTACCACAAGTAAAGAAGGATATTGACAAGCTGGAATGTGTGCAGAGGAGGATGATAAAGGGTCTGGAAACCAAGCTTTATGAGGGAGTTGGGTATGTTTAGCCTAGAAAACAGGTGATAGGAATCTTCAATTATCTAAAGGGCTGTCACATGGAGGGTGCAGCAAATTCGTTGTCTCCTGCTCTGGAGGCTAGGACCTGAACCAGTAGCTTCAAGTTACAAGAAAGGCCATTACAGTGGTGCTTCTGGTTACATACGCTTCAGGTTACAGACTCCGCTAATCCAGAAATAGTACCTCAGGTTAAGAACTTTGCTTCAGGATGAGAACAGAAATCGTGCTCCGGCGGCACGGCAGCAGCGGGAGACCCCATTAGCTAAAGTGGTGCTTCAGGTTAAGAACAGCTTCAGGTTAAGAACAGACCTCCGGAACAAATTAAGTTCTTAACCCGAGGTACCACTGTACCAGCAAACATCAGGAAGAACTTTCTGACAGTAAGAGCCGTTCGACAGTGGAACAGACCCCCTCAGGAGGTGTTGGACTCTCCTTCCTTGGAGGTTTTAAGCATCTGTCATGTATGATTTGTTGAGATTGCTGCACTGCCGGGGGTTGGACTAGATGACCCTCGGGCTCCCTCCCCACTCTCCAGTTCTATGATTCTCTGACAATGTATGTGCGCGTGCGACCTTTCCCTCCATCCCCCACCCACACACCCATTCGGAGATGCGCCATCCTAGCGCTAGGACCCTGTGGGCGCCCCTGGTGCAGCCTCGCAGCGCCTCCTGCTTCCACCCTGGCTGCTGGGTGACGGTCCCAGCTCAGCTGCCGAGCAGGGTGGAGCAGAGCAGCAGCAGCAGCAGTGGCATCGCCCTGGTCCTCCGTGCGCCCTCCTTCTCCCCGGCGGAGGCTGCCGCTGCTGCTGTTTATGACTGGTGGAGCCTACGAGCCAGCGCGGAGAGCGGCGCGCCAAAGGCGAACCGGCGGCGCCGGCAGCAAAAGACTCCCCGGCTCCGAGGAAGGGCAGCTGATGAAGTTCCCCGCCGAGCTCCAGAGGGCTCTCTCGGCTGCTCCAAAGGGCGCTGCTCCCGCCGGGTTCAGGGCAAGCGGGCGCGCGGTGAGTGATTCCCATTCCCAGGCACGGCGTCTCTTCGCTCCTCGCCTAGCTTTGCCAGCCTCTCTCTCTCTCTGTGCTAAGATCTTCTTTTCCCCGGGAACCGGGCAGGGAGGTTTGGGATGGGCAGGCAACCACTTCCTTCTTCCTCCTCGACCCCCGGTGTGGCATGGGGGGCGCAGCTGAATCAAGGGGCGCCTGGATGGAAAGGTTCGACCCCCTGGGAAGTGGAGACGGAGGGGAGGCTGGATCCCCACTGCCCGGGAAAGTTTGGAGGGAGGAGGCAAGGACCAGGAGGCAGTTTCCCTCTGCTTTAATCCAAGGCGCAACGCCGCGCTGCTTGGAGGTTTCGCTTTCTCCTTGCGCACCTGCCTTATCGAGGGGATGGCGCGGTTGTCTGCTTCTCGAGCGCGTATTGGGTTGAAAATGGCATTTTGCCTGCGTTTCTTCTCTCCCCGCTTTACGAAACACGCACAACCTACCTATATAGCTGTGGATTTCGGAAGTTCTTTTTTTTGGGGGGGGGGGGTGTCGTGGCTGTCAAAAGAAAGCCAAATCTCAGTCGAAAAGCACCTTGTGACTGAAATGCAGCTTTGTTTCCAGTGGGGGTCCCCCCCCCTCATGTCACAGTATGAACCTGTTGATCTCCAAGGGTTTTTTTGGGGGGGGGGTACCGCGAACTGCTGCTCTTTGAGTTTTCTTTCCTTACATCCCTTACTTTGGATTTCCTTGTTTACTTTGGCTCCTGGCTTAGTCGCAGGGGGAGGCCATTGTGCTGGGCACATTTAAGACACAGAAAGGAAAAGTTTTGCTGTAGGTCCCACAACGTGAAAGCCAATAGATTTATAGTCAATCGATCAATTTATGAAGACATCAGGTGCCCAAGACCATTCACTGCTTTTGCTGCTGCAGACTAACCCAGATTGTTGGCTAACCCTCTAGAAATGGGTATAATATGAAAGGAATAACTGCTGGCCATCTCAGGCTTTTATACGATAGATGAATGACTGGGTCTTGCTTATTAGTAAGGGTCTGAGTGAATGGAAAGCATGAATGATTTTCCCTTTGAGGTTGAAAATGGAAACATTGGCACATATTCTTTCATTAGGTTTCAGCTGTTAGTGGAGCTGCTTTGTTGTAAATCAGGGGTGCGGAACCTGTTTTTGGCACTGCAGGCAGATCTTTATTGGAACATAGCACCGTGGGTGAGGCTGCCCACCCGTCCATCACCTGATGTCACAATAATGTCAGGTGACAGGGTGCTTTGAAGTTCTGAAGTTGGGACTTCAAAGCACCATGCAGGGCTTGCAAATGAGAGCTATTAATTGAAATGCAGCATTAATACCCTTTTTTATTTTTAAATACTTGTGACTAGGTGGGAAAGAGTAGCTCTGCATTGACTGCATGTGAGGAATTTAGAGTTATTACTGTAAGATACCATGATTTTATTGTTGGTTGCAGGAAGGAAATCTACTTGCTGAATGTCGTAGGTCAAACTCGTGCCATTCAGGTTGAGTAGGCTAGCCACTCAACAGATGGAAAATTTTCTGACAATCTGTTCATCCTAATTTTACTAGATGCTTCCATGGTCCATTAAGTTCTCAACCATTTGACCACAAATATCCAAAGTATCTCATACCAGTTGCTTAAATCCACACAATGTATTTTCTATAGTATCTGTTGTAATCTCCGTTTATCGTTCCTTTCTCCATATTTCTTCCCCCATCTAACTGGGGGCAAAATCTTGAAAGTCAGCAACATTCTGGAGTAAGGTAGCTTTCAGGAATTTGATCAAAGGTGTACCCAGTTGAGGTGCAAGAACTGTGATCATGATGAATGCACCAGGCAATTCAGAATTATACAATGAAATTATTCAGTAATACGTTCTCTTTCACAATAATAAAAGCTCAGCTCGAATGTATGCTGCAGATCAGGAAGGATAGTTAATTTAATGTGTCAAAGAAGCTATTAGAGGCAAGAAGACTTCCTTCCAAAAATGGAAATATTGTCCAAATGGGGAGAACAAAAAAAGAGAACACAAGAAATGCAGTGCAAGGAGATAGTAAGGCAGTAATCAGCATTCTCTCTTGGCCTGTGGGCATATCTGCTAAGGACGGAAACTATAATGGCCACCACACCCACTGCAACCAAGCACACATTGCAACCTATTCAATTGGCTATAATTGAATACTCCTTTGAAGAGCAATTTTGATGGAGGGAGGGGACTCTGTGAGCATCAAGGAAGACCTCATGTGTGCTCACAGGTGCAAAAACAAACAAATAAAAAGATTCAAGGAGCACATTGCTGAAAGCATAAAGACCATTAGCAAAAAAAATCTTTAAATATATTGGAAATAGGAGAATAATCAAGGACGTTGATGGATGTTTGGATGACAAGAAAGTGAAAGGTGTGCTAAAGGAGGAAAAGGAGATTGCAGAGAAGCTGAGTTAATTCTTTGCAACTGGCTTCAGATTCGAAGATGAAGGGCAGATTCCAGTGTCTGAAATAACTTTCTCAGGAAGGTAGTCTGAGGAGCTGAGGCAGATTGTGGTGAGAAGTTCTAGGTCTTACTGGCAAATCACCGATCCCAGATGGCATCAACTTGAGGGCTCTCAAATAACTCAAAGGTGAAATTGCTGCTTTTCTATGAAAAATATGTATCCTGTCCCTAAGATCAGCCACTAAGACTGGCTACTGGTTTGGGAAAAGACAACCCAGATGATCAGGAGGCTAAGTCAACTTTGAGGGAAGGCTACAACAATTTGGGCTTTTTCATTTTTTAAAATGGGTAGAGGTGTCAAGATTGTACGTAGTTTGACAAAAGTGTGGAAACTATCCATCCCCACATAGCATCAGAATTTGGGTCATCCAATGAAGCCAAACATTAGATGATTCAGAACAGACAAAAGGAAACACTTCTTCACTCATTGAATAGTTAAACTATGGAGTTTAACTCCCTCAAATTGAAGAGATGGACACCAACTTGGATGGCTTTAAAAGAGGATTAGACAAGATTACCTAAGGGTGGTAATAATAATAATAATAATAGCAATAACTACTCACCCCAATGACTATGTTCCACTACCTCTGAATACCAATTGCTGAGATTTGTGTGCTGTTGCACTTAACTACACTTTTAATTAATTTCCATTTATAGTTCATTTGGTTTTTGGTGGTTTTTAAAGATATGATTTATAGTTATTAGAACAAGAAATCCTTTCCTATCAAAACAAGTGAGCGTCACTGAAGAGATAGGGCTTTCTGCATGTGAAGGACACAGCTTATCTTTATTACTCCTAGGACATTCAGAGACGGAGACTGCTTTTGAGAAACTATAAAAAGTTGTTCATTTGAAAGGTAATTTCTGCAAGGATAATTTATCCTTTTCTGAAATGAAATGTTGGAGTTCTGGAAAATGTGATAAATACCAGCTTAATCAGTGAGATAGTATGTGTGATTCGCAAGAACAAGGAGAACAAATAGGTAAATGTCTTTTTATATGCCTTTTATAGAGATTGCTATATAAAAGAACTAGAGAAATTCATGTAGTAATGAAAGTTATGGTTGATGTACCAAAATACATCTTTGTATTCTGTTTTCTTACCCTGCTCTGTGGAATGCTTTCCTGGTTGAAATTCACCAAACGTTGACACTTAATATGTTTTAGGTGTTTGGCCATACAGGTAATGTGATATTCTAGGAAGACCTTTAGCTGAAGACCTTTTGAGTAGACCCATTGAAATTAATGGACTTAATTTAACAACAATTTTATTATTTATATCCCGCCCATCTGGGTGGGTTTCCTCAGTTACCTTGGGCAGCTTCTAGTACATATTAAAACATAATAAAATATCAGACATTAAAAACTACTCAATACAGTGCTGCCTTTACCTTTAGTTGTGTTCTAATGTCAATAGGTCTACTCTGAATAAAATTTCATTGACTACCACCCATTATGAATATGTTTAGGCCAATTTTCCTTTTACCATGTGCTCACTTGGTTTTTGGAGTTGCTGCTTTTATTGATTTTTGATTTTTTTCTGAGTTTATGATGTTGGTTGTTTCTTTTGATGGTGCTTTAATGCGTTTTGAGGATTGGGTTTCATTTTAATGTATATTTTATTGTTGTAAGCAACTTTGGGATATAAGTTTTTTTAAAAAACAAAAAACCCCATCTTGGTTTGGCTCCAATCTTTAACAACTTACAAGGGGGGAAGCCCCATTGAACATAGAGGGGCTTACTTCTGAGTAAAGATGCATAGGACTGCACAGCGTAATTTCTAGAAGACCAGAACAGAAGATGACTAGAAATCTGGGTAGAGTTTTGCACAGTTCCTGTGTGATGTTTACGAATGCCCATCATCAAAGACAAGATAATTGGGTTGACCTGCTGAGGCTGCAATCATTTTCGCACCTATTACTGAATTCTGTTGAAGTTGTTCACCTACATGAATAAATTGCAATTAAGTTGTAAGGCTCTTCTTACATGGGGTGGGTTCAGATGGTAAACTGCTATCTTTCCAGTCATCATAATAGTAGTGATCTATGAAAGCAGACCTATATCACAGAGAAGCCAAGTACCTGTTGTAAAGGTTTACCTTCATGAAAGCTGACCTTGCTACAAGATCTTCTGGGATAAGTGGAATTAGGATCTGGATCCAGTGGAGCTGCAGCTGGGTCAGCAGGATCCTGTTAACTCCCCATATTTGGCTCAATTAGAGATACCTGGGTTTATTATTCCCATCCCAGCTGTCTGAGGTCAGCCTTGTGGACCTTAAGCCAGTGTAAACCTGAAAAAGGGGCGTGGCAGGGGTGGGGCCAGAGGGGGGATCCAAAACCGATTCAGTTCAGTCATGTGACCTGGCAAACAGGCAGAAACTAAGCCAGCAAAACAGGTGGTGCAACTCAAACACTTTTTCAAAGGCTTGTTTAGGTTTAGGCTGCCTCAGCCATCAACAACCCTGCTCCTGAATAGAAATTGGATCTGGTGTACTTTATGCCGGCTTAATT